TGATGGTTATTGGTGGGTCAGTAGTGCGAACATTATTCATTTCAAAAAAATCAATGTCTTCATATCCGCACAAACTACTCTTTTTACTGCAAGATGATTTGACACCTAATTTTATTTACGCAAAGATTAATTTTTCAACAAACTACAACCCTCTCAACAACATTAATTACATTTTTTAAAGGTAAATAGAGTTCTTTTCAAACGCTGTCAGAAATTGGCATTCATCTCCATTTAGAATGGCATTTATATTGGGGACTGTTAGAAAAACTGACGAGGAATCTTATTTGTTGAGGAGAAGGTGCAAGCTGACGACGACGAAACAGCGATGTTGTTGATTACGAGAGTGTTCAGTTGGTCTTCATTCGACCTCGCCACAGGCGTACCCTAGTACCCACACGGTACCTACAAAGTAATCAATCAATTATATGCGACTTAAGCTGTTTCACTAGGCTTGGTCATGAAATTTAAAACTAACGATTTGTTTTTAAACGGAGATAAGCGTCTGTTTCAAGGTCATAAATTATCTCTACATCTGATTGGTTCTGGCGAGATTTGATAATTTGTTGCAAAAACTGGTAATTTATAGATTCGGCACAACGAAAACCTCGGCTGGGTCTAGAGAATCCGCTAAAGCAACTGCCCTCCTCATTGACTGAATATGTTACACTTAAGTTTGTAAAACTGGCTCCAAAATGTCGTGTTAAATTACATGGTTACGGTTGTCAGGTCGCTTCCTGACGATACAACAGAGAAGGATGCACAAACAAAATTAGTCAAGAAGAGTACTAGGTGCTCTTTATTTATGGCGATTATTCCATTTATTTTAAGAAATGTGCTCCAGACTGCTTAAATGACATAAGTAGCATGATATGTTTAGTAGAAAGGCCACTGTTCCTTTTTCGTTTACTCAATTCTATCAATTATCACAAATTTAAATAGATTTTTTCCTTCCGTGAATAGACCAGACAAACCAAGGAACAGCAGCAAAAATGATTTTTTAAAAATAAAATAACTGCACTACAAAGCAAAGAATTAATTAGTTCAATTTTGCGAACAAAATTCAGTAATTTGCCAAAAATTATTTGCGGACTTTTTGATACGAAACCTGGAGAATCCATGAAGGCAATGGTAGGCTTACAGTTCCTCAATGAACCACTGGCGCCACCCGATTTGACATCTGAGCTGACACGTGCTGGAGGAAGCCTTGAGGTTAGATTGCAATTTTATGGCCTTCTCAAACTCAAAAACCAGAGGAGCAGTCACGAGGAAGATGAACGACGTTGCCAGCCATAGTAACAGGAGGTAGGCCTTTCATCAAATTTAGAACAAAAAAACGTTTTTCCTTTAAACTACTTTCGCCTAGTTCATTGACTAATTAATTGTGCTTGATGTCCCACACCTTTAAAAAGCCCAATTTTTACAGCCAGCCGTTTAAAACAAGAATCGAAGTAAAACATTAAGCAGCTGATTGGTGTTTATTAGCGAGTTGGATAGGTAATTGGTGGGGCCTTGAAGTGGAGGTCATTGCCGCAAAAAAATCGATAATTTATTAAAAAAGATCAATGTATTTTTGGATCTACTGGCCTAGAGCAGATTTGCATATTCAAGAAACTTACCATGTTGCCCAAAAAATAAGCGGTAAGTGTTTGCGACATCAGAACTGCAGCTGGCAACAATGCCAAGTAGAAGATGACGAGGAAGAAACAGATGTACCTGAGTAATTTGGTCGAAAAGCTGTAGGTGCGTTGAACATCGTCTAGACGAGGACGTCCCTCAGTCCGTAGGCCAGTTTCCCTTCAAATGGTGGACAATACTAAATGCACCTACTTATTATTATGCAAGTAATATGTGCACCCATAAACTCACTTTCCGTAGGCCTCTGTCCACGGTAGTAGGGGATCATTAAGTGAACGCGTCTTTTCCCAGACTGCACTCACTTCTTCCTCTGTCAAAGGCTTTGTTGTGATGGTGGTTAGAAGAACAGGAATCACCAGGCCAACAAAAATCACGCACAAGGCAGCTTCATTCATGAAGTCGTGGTAGGCTAAAAAGTGACAAAATTTCCGGTACTAGTCCTTATATTCACATACTGTTCCAGCACATCTTTTAAGAATACGACAATTCCCAAAATATATTTAATTTTTTCACGTAATTATCTGCTGGAAATAATTTTAATGCATTATTTAAAATCCTTTATTGTTTCTAATTGAATTTATTTTCAAAACACTCCTTGGACCAATGAAATGTCCGCCATTGATGTTTTTAAGCCAATGAAATAAACCTATGACCTGATTGGCTATTGGCTACCTGCAAGCTGCGATTCTATTGGTTGTCACAAAATGCTGCCAGGTTTTCGTGAAAATTTTAATTTAAAAACTCACTGATTGCTGATATCACAATGAAGCTAGCACCGACTATGAAACCAGATATGACGCCTGCCAGAACTGATAACCTGTTGATTCGAGGCCAGTAAAATGTGTAGTACAGACTCCCGACAGTGGACCCACAGATAATGCTCACGTAGTTCCGTAAATCGATTTTGGAAACCTAAATAAGAAGTCAGGTTACTTAATGTATATCCTTATTAAATTTTAAAAACATTTTAGCATAGAATGACGGACAATAATTTGTAGGTAGCGAACCAACCAATCAGAACTGACCACTTTGACGTCGAACACTAAGTCGACCAGAAGAAGGGTGATTAACATAATATGAACGGAAATCGATCGAACACTTTTTGTATGTTCGACGTATTTCCGGTAGTCGCCGTGGACTTTGCACTTTGGTCTGTTCTGGATCCTTCGACGTGCGTTCCGACGGTCCCTGAAATCAAAAATAATTGATCTTTGATACAGAATCACGGAAATCATTGGTCTATCCAGCACCCCGTGGCAGCGCGTTTACCGTAAATCAGGTTACTTTAGTAACAGTTAGGTGTGTGCCTAATAAACAATGTCAATTTATCACCCCTCGCACACACCACTTTTAAATGGTTGACTCAAAGATTGCACCAATCATTACGAAGGGAACTGAACCCACATGTCATCCAATTGGCAGTCGTCGCAGGCATGCATGCTTCCACACCTGCAGCGTTCTTGGATGCGCGCACAGTGACTGCGTTTTCGTCCACATAGAATGCACGATTGGACGTCCGAAATCTTCCTGAATGGCTACAAGGAAAAACAACATGAGTTGCTGTCATCAAACACCTCACCAGCACTGTCAGCATCAAAAAACATCGGCGCCAAGCGAACTCACTCGAAGGTACGTCATGTAGACGTCAGCAACAAAGATATTGGCAATTGCAGACACTTCGGTGAACGTTGTTGCCGTCATTGAACAAATTATGAGGGTATTGACCAGCGCGGTGCCAAAGGTTCCAAAGAGGTAGTCAGACACGGAGTACACGATTAAAGCTGGGACACAATAGACCATATAAATCTCCATGCATTCCAGATGAAGCAACACAGGAATCGTGTTTGTGGATGCGTAGATGCACACCACTCCACACCTTAACCTACGTGATTTGTACTCAAGGAGGCTTCGTGAAACTTCTCATCAGACATGACGGAGAGCAAACTCAATCGATTTTTGAGTTCGATTATTTGGCTTCTGTTCAACGAGTTGAATTTAAACCACCACAAGTAAAGGTTGCACCAAGCTCCGATGTATTCAGGGAAGAACCAAACAAATTGCAATAGGTAATTTGAGACAATGATGAATGTTTTGTTGAGGGCTTCGCATGTTGTCTTGAACTACGTCGGGGCCACAGCCTTGGGCCTAGGCCGATTACGTTACCCTGTGTGCCAGCGCAGATGAAGAAGACCAGAGAGGAAGAGGCACAACCCTTTACTAGATAGCTCCACGAATTTGTGTTTGTTGAATGACACGGCTGAGTGGACCAGTAAAAATGCAGGCGTCCGAATGGTCACAGGGATTGAGTTGGTGGTGGTGGTGGTGGTACACATACAGAGGGGTGAATGAGCCGATTGTTTCAGTGACCGACGGGCGCGCCATGAAAAGGGGGTCGTGTGTGCAAGGCTGCGACGACCGAGTTATTGGATGTTAATCAACACGATTCACTACAGTGCATTTGATTTAAATTCATTCGTTAGCATCAAAATCAACAAGTTACTTCTGCGTAAAGAAACCAGACTTGATTTCATTGTAGCCAGCTCACAACGATGAGCCTCACGGACCACCTTGATGGAATAGTTGAAGACGTCTTACCCAGTTGTTCCATTTCAGGGGAAAGCAGGACCTGACCGTAGCCCATGTTCAGAACGTAGTACCCAAGTCCACAGACGATGCCGAAGATAGCTGGGACGGGAAAAAAGAAGAAGCCGCTGACCACCACGTTGAGGCCGCTGGTTTCCGTCTCTGAGTTGAAGATCCCTTGCCAGTACGACTGGTCCATCACCAAATGCACCATCGAGACTAACATGCAAAGCAGAGTAGAAGTGGGTTATGAAAAATGTGTATAGGCACCTGCATTCGCTTCATTCTTGTTAAGTAAAGCAGATTAATTTCCCATAATTCGTGTTGTAATGTTCAAAAAAAGGTCCTAATTAAAATATTCTGTCGTCTACGCCTAACGTTTTTGCATTTTAAATAAAGTTTCATTCACAGAATGGCGTGAGTTGACGAGCACAAATTAATTACTGTCTGGTTTGTAGTTAGCTGGAAGCACACGAATCAGGCGGATTGAGATGGACCTACTTTACTAAAACAACACTTTCACGCACTATTTAAAAATGCCGCAATCAAACCCACTTCCAAAGGTTCTCAAGGCAAGCAGAGATGCTGGAATTGACCAGAAGGAGAGCACCGGTAAATTCGAGTTTCGAACCTTCTGGCATTTCGTCAACAAGACGATGTGCCGACAGTCACCTACAAGCCACGACAATGCAGCAGTGATTACTAACAATTATTTACCCTGCCACTGTCACTCAAAGTTGCACATGAAATAAAATCTTATCAATTAGATGCCAAGGTCAAGCTGTCTGTTGCCATGGCGAATCTGAACAAGTTGGTTAGTTGAATAAATCGCTCAAATCAACACTTTCATTGGATGCAACAATTCAGTGTTTGCCGTAGATTCTTTTAGCTCAACCCGCATGCTCCGTTAATCAACTCACATCATAATCATTTGATCACAGGAAAATTGATTTCCGATGCCGAAAGGTCATTCAAATGCTCAGGTATGTCTGCCATCTTTACCGAGTGGGGACGAACATTTTAAATCAACCAATAGATTTCAAAAAGTACGAGAATCATTGTCATTGTCAACATCAGCACCATCATTGATTGGCTTACCAAGTGGATAGAAGGTGCCAACGAAGAAGGTTGCACTACCGAGGAGAAACACAGCGAAGAGCTCAAACACCATCAAGACGTAGGAGGTGCTGAAGGTGCCTGAGATTCCGCCAAGAGCCAATGTGCTTTGGATTGCGAAAATGAACAATGCCACCACTACCTCCTTCTTCCGCACCATTGTCGTCTCCAACACAGCAGCTAGAACACCTACAGTCAAACAAGAACCACTGGTGCGCGGAAACTAATAACTTTAAATCAAACAATGTGCAACCAAATCTACATTGATGTTTATGCGCTCCTAATGCGTCCAAATTGCGGATAAGTCTGTTAGTAAAGTTCGTGGATAGTTTGTCGGAATTTTTCTGATTCAAGATCTACTCCGACAAGAAAATGTGCAAAACGAAAGCCTGCTTTTCTTCCACAACAGTGGTTGATTTGAAGTGCTTTCACTAATCACCTGCTGCGGCTTTTATGGAACCAGCGATTTTCCTTGTTATTTGCGTGGATTCGAGTGTAGGTCAATGGCAAATTTAACAAAAGCGAAGCTGTGACAGCTTATAACTTGAGCTGGACGCTATTTCACGGAATACAGTCCAATCTGTGGCAGTGAGATGTCATTACTGGCAAGCGTCTTACGCGCGTGGGTGTGAAAAAGCGCGAATATGCTGACAGAAAGGGCACAGAAGCAGTAGATGCAGTGGATGACGGTGCCGAAGCGCGCATTGACCACCTGCAGGAAGGTTCGTGCACCCGGAGCCTTCGTCTTCAACTCCATCGACAGCGGCGCGAACAGAGTTACCGCCGTGGATGCCGCAATGGCCTGAAAGTAGGGTCCACCTATTCCGCCCTATCGGAAGACACGAAACACTAACTAATCACAGGGGAATTTAAGTTCTTTTTACTCTCTACGTGAAGGTGATTGTGCTAGTAATTCAACGCTCAATTAAGTAGTATCTAGCCTCACCTGTAACACGGCTCTTGTTGTTTCGAAGAACGCGGCAAAGCAGGAGAGTCTGGCGATGAAGTAGGCTAGAATGAGTCCCGATGTTTGGCAACCGCCACTTCTGTACGTCTCTTCCATGTCTTCCTGCAGTAAGAAATTTCTTGCTTACCTAAACTGCAATTTTACGATACCGCGAAACACATTAGTCAATATTTCCCCGCAGTTATAATTTACTTAAATACAACCTGCATCAACAATGCATAAATTATGCTGTCAATTTTACGCTACTTGTTGTGTACGGATTATTTTTAAAAACAAACTTTTGTGGCACCCATAACAAAAACAGTGTTGAGGTAGTTTGAAAATTAATAAATTATGCCATATTTTTACAAAATGTCAATGAATTTTATGCAAAAACCAGTGTCTTTACAGGTGCTGAAGGCTATTTCAAGATCTATTGTACTGATATGTAGCTAACCACGGATATACAAACCAGTTTGTCATGTTCTTTGTAAAATTTAAACAGAATTCACATTTATGATGTGACATGATTGATTGTACAATTCAAACCAATCAAAGTAGATTTTCAGTTAAAAAAAACGTTTTGTGCCTGAAATATGAGCAATTAGCCACTGAGAACCAGCGTTTAATGAACTTAGATTGCACATTCCTACAATAATCACATATATATATATTTAACGTCATGTCCGCATTTTCAGAAATGACAAACGATTTTGACAGTTGAGATTTCTAATTAAGGAAGTTTAAATGTCGTGATTTGTCGGTTGTGGACACACTGATTCCAAGACTGTTCGTCCACCCATTTGCGCCTTGGACTGTTCGATATTTGACGAGCACTTTCCACGACTTGCGTACGGTTGCAGTTCCGGAAACGTTCTAACGTGCTTTACCCGACGTCTGGCTTTCCAGTAACTCCACACAACCCAGAGAAACCAGTGTATTCCATGGAATAACATCCAGATCGCCAAGTCCTCTTACTGATCGCCTTAGCTCCACGTTGTTGAAGGTCTCAGACATTGATGCTTTGATGTCAAACCCTGCGCTTAACTGTTCTTTATCTCACAAAGTACTTCTGTTGAGCGAATTCTTAACCAGAAATTCCAGCACTTGTCCACACAATTTTCTGTATGTGCTTTTTTCGCTTAATGACGTTCAAACCCCTACCCAAGTGTCGCATTTCACCAAAAGTTTTGGACAAACGTGGTTGGAAAATTGTTCAAAATGATCCATAAAACCACGAACTCAAGCTCTAATAAATCTGATTGACCCAGTTTTTGTGACAAGTTCGAAAATGTTCTACATTTAGCCTGCTATAGCTAGCCTACGCTTCCACGGACTCGTTTCATTCGACGTTCTTTTGCTTTGGCGCGCTAACCTGGCGCATATTTGAATTTAAATTACACTGTCAATGGGTTCTTGTCTAAGGCAGACGCCAGAGGAATTCCTTTGTCAAAATTATACTCTTAGTCATCAGAACATGTTTTTTCTCAAATTCAGAATATCTGAAACCTAATCGTAATTCTACCGCATACTCTACAGATTTTGCCCAATAAAATTTAAACTCCACCTTTTTTCAAAAAAAAATATGACTTTAAGCCTCTACAGAGTCTTACATAAACTCTAAACCATGTCCGGTTAGCAAAACCAGGGATTTTTTCACACCCACAAGATGTCTTGAAAGGCAAATCCGCTGTGAGGTGAACGCGAAAAAAAGAAAGGTGTTTAGAACGAAAAGGCTAGCTTAACTTACATCCAGCAGGAAATATTTCTTCCGAAACCAGCGCACAATGACGAGGGTTAGTGTGAAGCAAAACCACAGCCCAATAATGATACCGAGGAGACAGCTCTCGGTCAATTTATTGATTTTGGGAACGAGTTTAGACCAGTTTTGAGGTGTTTGGCAGTACCAGTCATCCGACTCCATTGCAGTGGCCTTGTGACACCTCTGATGGGAGCAAAGTGGGGAATATTTTTTGGACGAACCGTCTTTTGTTACCGGAGACACAAGACACCGTCCACTTAGGCGAGGCGTGCCAGCCTCTTAATGCGATTTTGGGTGGGTCCAACACTCACGCAATGCCTAAACCGGCCTATTTTAAGTGACACACTATTGAAGATTCAGAAGTGAAACGCTGAAGTGAGGTTAAGCGAAGACGGGCTTTTTGACCTGTCTGCCCAAAACCTATTACTGACAAACATTGAAGTAGGCTAAGTGTTTCGTTCTGATTGCTACAAAAATGATCAGGTATTTTCTGGGGAAAGATCTACTTGACCGAAAATGAGCCGCCATTGTTACATTGTGCTCGCGTTAAGCAATGAACTGACAGTGCTATGGGGCACTTTCTTAAAAAAAATTAGTCATTTTCGTGGTCGATTGTGTTGCCGCATTACCTTCATGCTTGACGTACGGGCGGCCAGGATCATAATCAATACTTCCCGACGTCTGTCGGTTTGAAAGGCGTGGCGCTCTGATCAAACAGCGCCATGGATGGGGATGACTTTGAGGATGGTTTTTTGTTAACAGAAAAATTCGGCCAATTGATGGAAATTAACGATGAATTTAATTCCAACGTCGACGCCAACAGCGAGGTGAAGGTCGACGTGAAGATTCGCTATCCAACAAGAAAACCGTTCATGCGCTACATGGAGAAGTTGGTTGCGCCGAAGTCGACCAATGACAAACCAATGCTTCGGAAGAGACCAGCTCCAGCTTACCTCGTGGAGTCCTGGCCCACGAGCAATGCCTTCACGATGATTAAAAAGGAGAGAATTAAGGAGTTGAGGCGTCAGGCGAACGACCGCCGACAAGCCGAGCTTGCGCGGTGTTTGCAACCCGGCTGTGTTGCCCAGAAGGTCCCTCGCGAACTGCGCCAACGTTTTACCGCGCACAACAACCTCAAGGAGTTGATTTACGAGGAGAATATCAAAGAAATCCACCAACACGGGCGGTTATTCGGTCCCGCTGAACTGACCCTGCAACCCAGGAACAAGCACAACGTGCCGCTCTTGGAACAGGGCAAAACCGATCTAGACGCGACCAAGGAGGCCAGAGATCAAGGCGCTGAGAAGACAGGCCTGTCGTCGGGCGACAGTGGAACTAGTAAACACAGCGATTCGTACTCAGTAGAGTCCTCACAAAAAGATAGCTATTTTGAAGAGCCCTCGCCTCACGAGGACAAGCAAGTAAGGCCGTCATTCAGCAGTTCCATCGCGGCTGGAGCTGCTGGTGTCATCGCGTCCAGTTCATCTGCTGGCGGCCCTCGTTCCGTCGAAGCGCCGCGTGAGAACTTTGACCAGACCAACGCTTTCCTTAGTGACCGTCGGCAGATCTGCTTGGTCAATTTGGCGATTCGTACCAAGGAGGGTGAGATAGCTCGATTGAATAAGATGCTGAAGGATGAAGCTGCATTTCTGGCGAAAGAGGAGAAGGAACTGCTGATACGCCACGATGAACACGACAAGTACCTGAAGTCGATTTGTCTGAGGACGGCTGAGGCGATAAAGAAGGCCGACACGGAGACGCATAAGCGAACCCAAATCACGGACAAGATCAAACGAACTCGCTACAAACTCGCCCACATGAACGCTGAATGCATTAAGCTAGAGGAGGAGTTCATCCGATTGAGCACGTACAAGGACTTTCTTGACTCTGTGGCTAAAACCATCGAGGAGAGCAGAGCGGCGGATCAGCGAGTCGCGATGAAG